CCCACCCCGCCCACACGACCCCGCCCCGCAGCCCCGCAGCCCCGACAGCATCCATCAGATGGGGCGGGCGGGGCGGGGCGGGCCGCACCAGCCGCTCAGACGAGGCACGGACGAAATTTCGCAACTTATGCTGTAGCGCTCAGGGCGCTCCGCGGCTCCGCGCGCTCCGCCCGGCCCGGGGCCCAGTACAGCCAGCGCCAGCGCCCCAGGCGGAGCAAATAAAGAGTTATGAGCGTTATTGCTGGCGGCGTCCTGGCGGCGGGGCTGCCTGAGCGGCCTCCTGATGGATGTCGGCGCGCCGCTGATGGACCGCGGCATGAGACACTTATGCAAATGACAGACGGCCCGGGGCGGGAGGGGGAGGTGGAGGAGGAAATTGGGGCCCGCCCCCAGCCCGCGCCCTGTACAGCTCCGTTTGTAGAGGGCGCTTATTTCACTGGAAAAACAAAGGTGCTGATCAGCACCTCTTTTAGGGGGTGCTAATGCTGAAGTGGCTTCACAAAGGCCGTGAACTGATGGTGTTCAATTTAACACCTTTCAGTATTGCTTTAAAAGTATGAAATGGGTTGCTGTATCATCTAAGAAAAGAAGTGGTAAATTCACCAGGAAAAAAGAGGTTGTACAAGACGTTTCATTAACTAACTGCTGAGCAGATCATTTTATTTTTTGAAAAGACATATATGAGCAAATACATAGCATGGTTAAGGGCAGAATTTAATCAAAGCGTCTCGAAAATGCGACCGGTAATTCCCGGAAAGCTCTCGGTGGCAACCTGATGCACACGGAGTGCACAGAGAACAGTCGTGCACGACAGAGCAGTAGAAATTAACGTCGTCTGTTGGAAGGATCTTGATCGAGGGGTGTACTTTCAGGAGGGTATGGGAAATGCAATTGTCGTGAATGTCGTGAAGCCAGGAGTGGAGGCACCACTGATCACCCTCCAATCGCTCTAATTCCATGGCATTCGTACCCAGCTCGAGGGTCTGCAGGGCTGGGGTCGTGTCCGGGCCGAGGGCCAGCAGCAGCTCCTCCGGTAACGCCGAAGACTCCAGGCGCAGGTGCTGCAGTCTGGGCAGCCCGGGGAGTGCGCTCAGGAGCGGCTGCTGCTGCGGGAAGTCCTTGCACGAGCCGTTGTCGATGGACAGCAACTCCACGCGGGAGCGTCCTGACCAGGCCAGATCGCGCATCAGGCCTACGCCGACGTCATCGGGCCTGGTGGGCCCGGGCCGGTACACCAGCGACACCTCGCGCAGCTGGGTGGCGCGGCGGAGGAACTCGGCTGCCCCCGCGATGACAGCAGACGGCATGTCGGGGAATATGTGAAAGGTCACCATTCTCAGAGAAGTGCACGATGCCACGACCTCCATCCCGGCCAGCGCGGGAGGGCAACGGAGCTCGCGAAGGTTCGGCATCCCGGCGAGGAGGGGCGCCGTGGAGATGGACTTCGAGAACCGGTTCACCCAAAAGGCTCCAAGGTTAATCACCTCTAGGGTGCGGGCATGCCCGGCCAGAACGAAGTCGATGAAGAGCTCTGACTTCGGCAGAAATTCAGAGCGGAAGTGTTTTAGGGATGGTATTATGGGCACGGTGTGGTGTAGAATGAACCTGTCCGGAGCAATGTAAATTGGGAGTGTATTGGTTGAAAGCGTCACCAGACCGGACGCTATAGCCAGCGTTTCCAACAGAAGGGAGAATCCAAATCGAATTGGTGTAAACTCAGTTAAGGCACTTATCTCCGAGACGCAAAACACCTTTGCAGGGAAACAAACATGAAGCTCTTTTAGCCGTCCAAGCGCCAGTTGGTTACGGATCACGAAAGCGGCGTGCGTGCAGACAGTCATGTCCAGCAACTCCAGATTCAAAATCGAAACGGCACATGTGGTTGTCGTGAATGGCAGCTGGCATGTCTCCGAAGGGAGCTTGAGGATCAGCATGCGGACGCAAGGCGCCAATCGCAGCGTCGGGCAAATCAAACAGGCTTCAGCGTCAGCCGCGTGGTCTGTCCACGCACGGATCCATCGGTGACGCCACGGTTGCGGGTGCAGGACGAGCTCTGCCAGCCTCTTGCAGACAAGCCGGCAGGCAAGGAGGTCCTCCACCTCGACATACTCCAACACCATCAGCAAGACGTCGTCGGGCAAGTGATCCATACTCTGCAAAAACAGACATCTAGGTACGGATCGGGTAATGAACGAATTGCCTATTGAGAGACAAGAAAGGAAGTTGGCAACGTCATGAGAGTATTACGGTATATAAGGGGATGAAGAGGAAAGGACGGGCGCCGCCTGGGCCTGCACGGCTAAATGTGCGGCTCATTTCCCCTAAACTCTTTCACCTGTTTAAAATCAGAAAGAAGCATCGGATAGGGGAAGGTCGATTGTATGGCTGGACTAGGACGCGCTGTGACAATCGTCGCCAGTCTAAACCACGCATTCCTCTAAACAGCAAAGTTTTTCTTATGATTGATATCGGCACAGAATGGCATAAGATGATTTTTAAAGAATATTTTGGTACCTTACCGACCGCTGAAATACGATTTCACGACAATAACAACAAAGGCGGTGCATTTGGAGGTTATGTTACTATGGTCGGGGCCTAGGCCGGCGGCAGCTGCTTGACGAATTAGTTGTTTTCGAAGGATAAGGAATGGTAAGCAAAAAATATTGAACTGAGAACTCGGAAAGGTACACTCGGAAGTATTTTACGTCAATATTTGATGTCAGTCACAAAATATCACCGATATATACGGATGGCGTTAAACCCTCATGGAGTAGGTTAGGTGCTTTGATGCTTCCCACTTCCCCAAGCTACGCTGAACAAGTTAATGTTCATTGGTTCAAAATTGGCTCTTGCAGACTGATTGTAGACTGGCCTTACCTTTTCTAAGAGGTAACAGTGAGGTGTAATGACAAGTCCCAGGTTGTAGGTAGCGTGGCGTTGTAGGCGGCTGGCGAGAACTGTTCTGTCGGACGCACTCGCGGCGCGGGCACCGCAGGCAGGGCAGGCACCTAATGAGTCAAGTCGCGCCAGAGCGCGCTCGCTTCGTTTCGACTACAATCCGACGGCTTACCGCTTCTCTGTTATGACGGAAATGACCTGCCCTCCACATCATGCAAGGCTGTCCTCCGCCGATTTTCCGCGTAATACACCCCATATAAGAGAGGCCAAGATCGGAGTCAGAGCCGTGGACCAGGCAGTCTGGCGCTTGACGCATCGCGCGCGAACATCACTCGCTTCACGCATGGCATCCGCATCACGGTCACATCGCGGACTACCCACTCCGTATGCACGGCTCGATGCACGCCGTGCACCATCCTCCTTCCAAGTCACAAGTCACGCGACGCGGGTCGGCGATAACGTCTTCATTTCTCGCCTTTATTCGCGACCGGCGATGCAGTAAAGATGAGCTGGCGAGTACCTGGCCATAACAGGGCCTTAGCTTAAAGGGGGCGGAAAGGGGGGGGGGCACATTTCCTTCTGGTACAGACAGTCTGGGGGACTGTAGAAAAAGTTCTGAATCACACCTTTTGTTTCTTCCAGTGCGCTGCTCTGCGTTGCCGAGGCGGGGCCCCGGGGCCCGGTGGGGTGGCCGTGGGAGCGAACATACATCAAGGTGCCAGGAGGCGGCCGGCGGTACCGCCTTCGCCTCCACCGCAGGCGCCGCACTGCACCTGCACCTGCTGTGGCGTGGCCCGGCCGAGGGCCCGGCCTTGTTCCTTGTTGCGGAGCCGACCCCCCTTATCACCAGCACCCCTGCCTAGCGCCGTGGTCACCTGCTCCAGCACCATCACTAGCCGGGGGCATTACCTTATCACCAGCGCCCCAGCGACCGCCCTGGCCTGGCTGCCCCCCGCCCCGCCACCTCCTGCCGAACAATGGGACGCAACGCACTCACGCGACGTCTGAGGTACGTACAGCATCGATAGCGCCCGCATCGCGCTGAGTCGGCCGACCCGGCGAGCAGCTCTGTGCAGCCGGAGCCCCGACCTGCACCCAAGCTCCCAAGCGTACGTCGTGACCTGCATGGCCAACCAGACGCTGCTGGCCCAATGTTCACGATCCCTCCAAAGTCATCTCTGGAGCTGGAGCACTGACGGTGAGCCGCACGCGTGGGCCGAAATATTCAAGTGCGAGGGTACGAAGGTATCTTTTTATTGAACCCGGAATTCATCCTCCTCGAAACGGAACATACTTGCCTCACCGGCTTCTATTATTTGACGCTCCCAACGGCACTGTAAGCTAATCGAATGGCGCGTGGTTTCAAAGCACACCGTCGTGGAGTTTCCTGTGTGTAGTACCTAACCCCACTCACCTCGCCTAACCCGCCTCACCAGCGCCGTGGCCACTTTCACCACGGGCACCCCCC